GCACGTGTGTGTAAGGATGGAGCTGTTGAAGAAAAAGTTCAATAAATTTTCGAGAGATGTGTAAGTATAACATTATTTATTTAATTACATCATACTTTTATTTATTTAATTACATCATTCTTTTATTAACATATCATTCTTTAACTACAATATTTATATGAATTTCAGGAGAGTCTTTCCCATTCTATACCTCCAGACGAAGATACTGATTGCAGGAGAATACTCTCACGAGCATTAGATATTCGAGAGTATTCTGGTCGGGTGAGGGGTAAGGGATTTGGGATCACTCCCACATTCTTGAAAAAAAAACAAAGACAAAATCTCCAAGCAATAAAGAACTGCAGGAGAAGTTAGAAAAGTTACAACAAGAAGTCTATAAGCTGAGAAAGGAAAAGGAAATTGATCAAGCTACAAGCTTTAAAGATACTAGTGACAAAGCTAGTATCAATGGTAACTTTAGAAAAAATATTCCCGAGGTAATTATATACCATCTTTATAAATTATAAAACCATGTTTATTAACTATATAACCATGTTTATTAATTATATAACCATATTTATTAAATTATAGGGCATTTCCCGGTGTCAACTCTATTTGTCTACACCGACTTATCGGATGGTTGGAAAGGGAAAAGTGTATAATATCTCGGGAGAAATGCTTCACCATAGACCCCTCCCAAATGGATTTTTGAAAGTATCGGTCGACGTCATTTTAGAGGGGGGGTGCGTTGTTACCACTACCTGACGATGTGGAGGATACAACATTGGTGGCGGATGCAATAAGATTGTTTGTTGCATGGCCATCAAGCCTCGTTTGTGTAGATAATGAGGTATGCTTAAAATCGTTTACTATTCAAATTTTTATGGCAATTATAATTACATTTTGTTTACATGGTAATGTTAGACTCCCACTAAATCCATTCCAAAAAATAAGGGGATTAGGCGGGATACCGAGTCAATTGCATCATTTGAGGTAACACAATTATATGACATTATGCTATGAGAAATGCTAATTTGTGATTTTATACTTTCCCTAACTAATTATATGATAACTAGATTCATGCTAAAGAGACTGCACAACTCAGTAGGGGTAAGGCGCCTGAAATTAGCAACATTTCGATACAAAAAAAAGAATGTTGCTAAGACTGTGGCACACAAAAAAATTACTGCTCAGTTCAGGTCGTGCCTTCGGACATATTTAGGAATTACAGATATTCTGGATGATGGTACCCGACTTATATCTATGAGTTAAGATATCTTTGGTTTTGAATATTTTGAAGCAATTGGTAGAGAGGACATGGAGCAAGTTTTTAGGCATTTGGAATTAGGCCTCGGTGTTATCGGTATATACATCAGGTATACTCTGATCAACTTTGTTTAATTAAATAAACAATTTAATCCCTCATTTCAATGAATATAGTATAATGTTAATCATGTTTTAATTTAAGGTTTATGTATGACAACATTGTGCGTCCGCGTGGATTGAAAGCAAGACTTGGATTCTTAGCTCCCAACACTGTCAATTCCGGGTTGATTGTAACGAGACCAGATGATGTCATATCATATGTACTTGGTTTATTCGTGGCCAGTAAAGATACCGAGAAGTTGTTCTTTTTGCCATATAATACTGGCAACGGGTTAGAATTTCATCCTAGCTTAATCTATTATAGTTTTCCGTTTTTGTCCATTGTTTAATCTTTGTTTAATCTTACAGTGGACACTGGCTATTGGTTGCGATTAATCCTATGAGAGAAACTGTGTATTATCTGGACTCATTATATAATGATTGGTCAACATATCCAGATTTGAAACAAATCATTGACACGTAAGTGTTTCGCTCCCAAAGAGATATTCAAGTTTATGTTTATGTTTATGTTTATGTTTATGTTTATGTTTATGTTTATGTTTATGTTTATGTTTATGTTTATGTTTATGTTTATGGTCAACATATCTGGATTTGTGTTTATATTTATGATTCTATAACGTTCTACTTGCTTTTCGCTCCCAACGAGATATTCAAGTATCAAAAAGTAGAGCGAACAACGTTACATGGATCAGAGTGGAGGTATATTTTCACAAAGAGATATTCAGTTTTGCTTACTTTAGTGATGATACTTGATAAAACAATTTAAGGGGTATATCCTGATATATATTCGTATTTGCTTTCCATGTGTAGTGTCCTCGCCAGCGTAACGGTATAGATTGTGGTTATTTTATGTTGAGGTTTATGAAAGAAACCATTCTTTTGGATCGATTAGAGATTCCATCCACGGTATGGATTTCTAACTTATGAATTACATACTATTTTTATAATTTGTGTTTCTCATAAAATGACATATTGTTTTAACTAAATCACATACTATGTTATATTATTATATATGTAGTACTTTGAGGAATTCAATTGTGCACATTACTCAAAAGATCAATTGGATGAACTTATGGAGGAATGGTGTCAATTCACTATCGGGTTGAGAATTTTATAAGCTAAGGTATATTGTCTTATTTCCTTTGATGAGAACTTTTGAGTTTTGAGTATAAATTAAATTCGAATAAAGTGCAATGTTAATATTATCATGTTATGAATTTCGATCATTTAATTTTTTTTCCAGGTATATAGGTACATATGTGTAGAAGATAGAGTTAAGATATTCATGTTGTTGTTGTTTCATGAGAATTCTCTAAGATAGAAAGATGTATAGATGTAAATTTAATTTTGAATATTTTAGGCATTTTACCTAGTAGAATTTTAACTTGTATCATAAATTTTGTAAATGTTGTTGTCTATATCTTGTATAGAATTTTAACCTGTATCATAACTTGTAAAAAGATGTATAAATGTTGTTGTTGTTGTTGTTGTTTTTATTGGAATGAAGCTACCAAATATGGAGCATAAAAGATAATTCTGAAAACCTGGATCAAAATATTGGAATGAAGCTACCAAATATGATAAAAATTCTGATTAAAATAGATAATTTATTAAAAAAAAATTGGAAACAATAGGCAGCGCTTTAGCAAAAAAGCGATGTAAAAACTTAAAAAAAATGCTTCCTAAAGTCTGAAAGCGCTGTCTAAAGTGGAGGAATAGACATCGCTTTCAAAGGAAAGTGCTGTCTAAAGCCTACCTGAAAAAAACTACCAAGCGTTGTCTAAAGTGGACATAAGGCAGCGCTTTTACATTGAAAGAAAGCGCTGTCTTTTCTTTTAGCAGTGCTTTAAAGCGCTGTTAAAGGCAAAAAAAAGCGTTGTCTTTTCCCTTTTTTGTAGTAGTGAATGTGGCTCTGATAATAGTTCGTGTGAACACATAGGTACTGACATGATACACACATATGATATTTATAATAATTTATTGAAATGTTTTTATTTTTATTTAACTTTCATTTATTAATAAAAAATAAAATATTTTTATATTAATGATTTGATTCGATGTTATCAATTTTAAATATTTTTATATACGGAAGAAATTATAGAAACTTATTTACTATATGTTTTAAAAATAATAAACTATTTTATTTAGACAACTTTATTTTTTTTCATTTCAATTATATTTTTTTAATGCGCGTACCACACACCAGTACCTATGCAAATGCATGGGTAACACATCAGTAACGTGTGAACGCATGGGTAACCATAACAAAATTCATGCGAACGCACAGGTTATTACATATTTTGTACACTTAAAAAAATTTTAAAAAATATTTAAAATAATGTATAAATTTAAACACGAGAAAATGAATTGCTTTTAATTATTTATGCTACTAATATTTTTATTTTAAAATGATTTTTAATTTAAGATACAATAATTTTTAAGATAATATATGAAAAATTGACATATAATATATGGAAAATTGAAATATATATTAGTTACATAAAAAAATTTGTTTTTATTTTAAAAATAAATTTTTCTTTAAAAAATAATAAAGTTTTTTATAAAATAATTTTATTTTTTTAATTATATTTTGAAAACAAATGCGCGTAACACATGAGTATCTGTGCGAACACACGTGTATCCCATTAGTTTTATTAATGTTTCATTAACATTTCACTTTTTTTTTTTGAGAAAGATAAGAAATATATTAATCCAAAAACAGCTTCAGTACATGTCGATCAAAAGATCCAGGCTACCCACAGACTAAGAAAAATAGTTATACAAAATTACAAAACAATACCCCCACATTTGTTATGTTTCCTCTTATACTTATCTATACCCATATTAACTCTATCAGTAATGTCTCCTAGATTAAGCTCCTCTTTGGATAACATCAACCCAAGGTTTGTTGGTCTTCACCTCCAACTCCGGGGGGCTAGGTATTTCCACCGTCGCAGCCACCATATTCTCATGAACTGGTTCTTCCTCGTTCCGCGATGCAGTTATCAATTCCAAGTCAATCTCCGTATTTGTTGTAGTGATTAAAGGTTCCGCTGCTGTCTTCCAGTTTGCCGCCATCCCTTTAGCCGGACGGCCCACACTCCGTTTGGTTTTCGCCATAAACCCTAGCAGAGCTCAACAAAATCCTCCAAATTTTTGGTGTTTTACAAAAATTATTTTTTCTTTGTTATTCACTTTGCAATTTGCCAAGTGCTAACAATTTAGTTTCATATATTAATATTTTATTTTATATGTTATCTAAAAATTTAATGGTAAAACTTAATCATACTAAATTTTGAGGAGTCAAATGTATTTACCGTCATTATTTGTATTGGATTTACATGTTTCATTAATTTTATTTATTCACCATTAAAAAATCTTCAACTCTAATTAAACAAAATCAACATATTCCGTATTACCATCACACACTCCTACACCTCATAATCACATATTATGTATTTGGTATTTATTTTTGATAATGCATATCCATTTCAATTTAAATCCATTTGATGTTAACTCTTCTCCTTCCCTCTAACACATAAATAAATACAAAACTTATCCCAAAAATTGCAAACAGCTTCCATTAACAAAAGAGAAAAAAAAACACACCCGTATTGTGAGTGAGTACAACTACCATGAAGTTTATCATCGTATTTGTTTTGATAATTCATACTCTTTCCATGATTGTTGCACATGGGAAGAAGGTAAATATTGATCACAAGAAAACAATTGTAAAGAGTGGTTGTGATTTGTTTAAAGGAAGATGGGTTTATGATGAATCATACCCTTTATATGAAACTTCACAGTGCCCTTTTATTGAGAAAGAATTTGATTGCCAGAAAAATGGTAGACCAGATCAATTCTATCTCAAGTATAGATGGCAGCCCACAGGATGTAACTTGCCTAGGTACACATTTTTCATTTAGCTACTCTTATTATTGTTTGTTATGTCTATTTTTTATTCATGTTATTTTACTTCTTATGTGATCAAAATAGAATTTAGATTTTGAATCAGTTTGTAATTTTAAATTGCATTACTCGAGATTATGGAGAATCGAAGTTATTTTTTATGAATGTTTGGTAATAATTATTAGAAATTCACGCACACATAAGTTAGATTGGTCTAATGTTCAAACCCTATTTTATTTAAAAATCTTGATATATGATCTTATGATCAAATAATTTAAAGAAACTAATATCATCGTCCACCTGTTCAGACTTCATTTAAAGGTAAAACAAAGTTATGTATGAATTTGATTTAACACAAAAATTGTTTGAGTTCAAAATCTATTAATGACGTCTAATTTAGTAATATCAGATTTTGTTATGTGATTGAATTATTTAATTATGTGATTGAGGTTTGAATCTAGTGGACCTCTTTGCAAAGAATGATGGTTGTAAATGGTTAACTACTTAAATAAAACTCTATCTTGGAGAAATAAGATATTTTCTATCTTTAAAATTCCAAATCATTTATGGTATGTTAGGATGTCTTTTTAATGGGTGTTATACTCCAATCAATTAGGTAAATATTGTAATTAGACTTTTCACACATATTAAAAAAACTAATTATTATCGAATGAATATGAGAAATTATAATTTTTTTTATAAAATTGTCTTTTATTAATAACATGTGAAAGATAAATTTATATAATTGAAAGAAGAGAATAATAAATATTTAAGAATATAATAGAAAAAATATTATTAATTATTCATTAGGATTATAAAGCGACTAAACGATTTATATTATAGTATAATTTTTTTTCTAAAATAACTTGTAATAAAAAACAAAGGGAGTATATGTGAAAGAAGTTGAAATTGAGATGTTCATATTGTGAAGTAACTTTCAATCATTTTGTCTACAAATAAGAATTAATTGTCATATTAGATAGAAAGAAACAAAAAGTTCATTTATTGATGATTTAGACTATGCAACTTCATTTGGATCCACTTGTGAGTTTGAATTAATTTTATCATACAGATTCAATGGTGAAGATTTCTTAAGAAGATATAAAGGGAAGAGTGTTTTGTTTGTAGGGGACTCTTTGAGTTTGAATCAATGGCAATCACTCACTTGCATGCTTCACATAACTGTCCCACAAGCCCACTATACTTTAGTGAGAATTGGTGACCTCTCCCTTTTCACCTTCACGGTTAGATCTCTATCCTTTTCAATATCCTATTTGATTCATGTTCTCTTATTCAATATTACAAATAAATTTATAATAACTTTAGTAATCAAAATTCACAAATATCTACGTTTAGATATATCTTATAACGCATTAAATATTGTCGCCCATTTAGATATATCTTATAACGCATTAAAAATTAAAACGTAACCAAACAATTTATGTAAGAGAAAAATGATAAAGGAATAGTTTTTAATGCATTCCTGTAAATGAGAAAATGACAATTTTTTTGCAGAGCTATAATATTAAAGTGATGTTCTCGCGCAATGCATTTTTGGTGGATATTTTTAGTGAAAATATTGGTAGAGTTTTGAAACTAGATTCTATTGAAGCTGCCAAAACATGGAAAGGAATTAATGTCTTGATTTTTGACTCTTGGCATTGGTGGCTTCATACTGGAAGAAAACAACCGTAATTAATTTATCTTTCTAGTACATACTTTGTATCAATTTTGTCTATTCTTTTATGACTTTTATTTTGTTCATGCAGATGGGATTTTATTCAAGAAGGGAATAATAGATTTAGAGATATGGATCGATTGGTTGCATATGAGAAAGGATTGAAAACATGGGCCAATTGGATTGATACTAATATTGACATTAACAAAACAAGAGTGTTCTTCCAAGGAGTCTCTCCGGATCATATTAAGTAAGTATTTGACGCTATTAAATTATAGTTAAATAAAACCTTTTTTTTTGAAAAACTGGTTAAATAAAATTTAAGAGAATCTTTGTCACATTTAAAATGTGGTAAATTAGAATCCTTATTTATTTTATCACATTTAGACAGTAGATAATCAATACAGCGTTTTTGAAAAATTAAAACGACTCTAGATAAATGAACAAATGTGATTGAAATTGTTAATACAAATCATAGACGCGTCACTTACGATTGCAAAACTATGCATCAATTAATTGAAATGACTAAATTAGGAAAATATATTTTTTCTAATTATTTGCAGCTCAGAGCAATGGGGAACACCAAGAGAAAGTACAAAATTTTGTGAAGGAGAAGAAAAACCATTATTAGGAACCAAGTATCCAGGAGGTCCACACCCAGCAGAATTGGTTTTAGAGAGAGTTCTAAGTGGCATGAAAAAGCCTATAAAGTTGCTTGATATTACAACTTTATCACAGCTTAGAAAAGATGGTCACCCTTCAGTTTATGGACATGGAGGACATAGGGACATGGATTGCAGCCATTGGTGCTTAGCTGGTGTTCCTGATACTTGGAATCAACTTTTATATGCATCTCTAATTCAAAATTGATTCATGCATATTCTTAAATTTAAATTGTGCCCTTTTATATGGTTGTATATTTTCAATCAATATTTGTAAACATGATCAAATAAGGTGTGTCATTGCAAAGAGTGAAATTTTAAGAAATTTTAAGTTGAAATTAGAAATGTTGGACAGAGGATTGAAGATTATAAGAACCTCTTTTTTATTGGAGAAACTATTGACTATCTAAATGGGAGTTATAAAAATTAAATGTTCATAGTATAAAAATCTTTTAACAAATAACTGAGGGATAACTCTTGCACTTTCATAAATTGACTTTAGATCTTTATTTTCTTTTTTATATTTGTAATTGATTGAGTGTCTCTCCTGATTCATGATTCTGAGTGTGGTGAATCTTCATACATCTTTTGTTAGAATCTGATTTATTGATGATGGATCTAATTGGTTTGAACTCTAACTTGATAGTAGTAAAATGGTTATATAATAGTTGTGATTTTGCTCCTTGTTGTACCCTTTTTCTTGAGACTCTCTGTTTTTGTCGTCTATTTTTTTATATCTTATTTATATACACTTGTGTGCTTTGTGATTTTCGGTTGTAAATTGATTTATTTATTTATCAATATATATTATTTACCATTAAAAAATGCAATAATTTGAGAAGACATCTTAAACATGTGTAATAATAAAAGTATCTATATTTATCATATTTTAAATGGACACTAGTGCAGAAATGACTTTTTACATCGGATGAAACTGAATTTTTACATCGGTTCTGGGTCCGATGTAAAAGGTCCATTTTTACATCGGTTGTGATCTAAGACTGATGTAAAAAACAATTATAACATTATTTTAAAAAAATTGATGCAACTTTTTACATCGGTTAAACGTGTGAGCCGATGTAAAAATTCCTTTTTTTACATCAGTTGTCATCTAAGTCCGGTGTAATATATACAGTCTTGAAAGTTTTTACATCAGTTGGGAGTAATAACCGATGTATGTAAGAAATTTTTTTAGAATAAATTATTTATTTTCTGGATGTTTCCCTGTAAAAAAAATTGGTACCCATTTTTTCATATTTTTTCAATATCACACCGACTATATTTATGTCGCTATATAGATTTCATAATTTTCCAACATCACATAGACCACATCTAGGTCGATATTTTCATATTTTTCACAACAAACTTACAAAATGAACAATTGTATTGCAAACTTCTATTGTATCACAACAAACAAACTCACAACAAACTTACAAATACATATTCTTCACAAAACATACAAAAATATTCAACTATTTATAAGTCTTTTTCCAAACCTGAATTACCAATATAAAATCCACAAGTAGATGAGTTATAGCTTCGGTAGACAACACCAAAATCACATTGTCTGACAATAAATAATAAATAATAACAACTAACATCAGCAAAAAAAATCAAGAAACTCAATACATGTGCAAAAACCACATGTAATGTGCAAAAACTTAATAATAACAATTATGTGCAAAAACCACAACTTAGACAATTCTATAAAACTCATCAGGTAAACTTAATTTTTATATAACTCAAAGAAATATTTTGCCCAACGGAGTCACAAATCATACAAATTATCTTGTGTTAATTCTGTTGGGTCATCAAATACCTATAATACATAAATATAACAATATAGAGTTATTCTTTAAAAATTCATATTAAGTCGAAAAACAAAAAGTAAATAACAAAGTAAAGTTATTTTTAGTACCTGCATCTAATTCTCAGTTATATTATCAGAGACAATATTCAACATATTTTTCATCACATAGTATCCACAATCATTAGAGTAATGTTGTTGCCTTGTCTACAATTGGATGACATAATTAGTGAATATTTATCATAAATTTAACTATAGAATTACAATTTACATCACACTTACATTGGGATGAAGCCATGTAGCCTTTTATCTATTTCCATTTTCCATTTGATGAATTCCAAAAGAACTAATACAGAAAGATAAACATCACATAACTAAATTTACTCGCTAATGAAAAATCACATAACTATTAGTTGCCAATGAAAATCACATGAAAGATAAACTTACTTTGTAATAATTTTCTTCGTGTTCTGGTCAATTTTCCGATGAAGTGAACAAAATACGACAACTAAATTGTCTCTTGGACACATGATTATTAATTGCCAATGTCTCCTGTACGTGTGTGTAGAAAAAGAAAAATCACATAAAAAAATAGAAAATTTCGTACCAATCTTACTTTCTCAGCCAAAGGAGCCCAACTCTAAAAGAAATGTATGTGTTAATGAACAATTAATATTTGCTTTAGTTGGTAATTAATTCTAGTACTTATTTATATAATTATAATTATAATTAAGTACCTTTTCGTCGACACAACGGAAGTGCACGAATAAGCAATATTTGTTGTTCTCTACCATAGCTCTGGGGACAGATTTTGTTTTTTCTAACAAAATTTTATACACCTGAAATTTCATTTATTATTATAATTAATATGATAAAGTACAATACAGTTATTAGTTAATAACCTATGTGTTGAAAAATGCTAATAAAATCGAACCTCGTCGATCATCGGTAGAAATTGACTTGCAGGTTGGAACAAAACTGGTTTGTTACTATCACTTATACACTGGAACAAAGCAGGAACTCACAAAGCTAATTAGAAAGAACAAAACTTAAGAGAAAACTTCAAGATAATATTAACTAGTGACAAAAATTAATTATCTCACTTTTTCAGCACTTTGGTTTTTTGTTGGTCCCATGATGTCCATACCATGGCTTGCTGCATAGCACAACTCTCCTAACTTTACGAAGTTAAATACCTGAAACAAACATTGTGATGAGAATTTTAATTAATTATTTAATTAGAAATTGTGTTATTTTTAGTTTTTGAAGAAAATGTACCTTGTCTCTGCACCTTCCGGTCACAATTGTTGTAGGGAAATGTTTTGCTACATCCCTAAGTGTTCCTCTCATCTGTTTTTATAACATTAAAAAATAATAATAACCAAATTAATAAAAAAATCATAAGCATACACTTTATAAATCATAGGAATGAAAAAAAAACCTTTCTAGTCATGAAAGCTTTATTTGGATCAGCAACAATAGGAGAGAGAGTTCCATCGTAGTCGAGAAAAAACACAATCTGTTTTCCTTTAGAACTAAACAATATTTGATCAAATAGTTTCAGCGCTGAAGGATGATAAAGTTGTAAACAACAACATAATAACAACAACAGAGTAAGACGAAAATAATAGCAACATAATAAAAATTGAATTTATTAGATTTTATCAATATATATATATATATATATATATATATATATATATATATATATATATATATATATATATATATATATATATATATATATATATATATATATATATATATATATATATATATATATATATATATATATATATATATATATATATATATATATATATATATATATATATATATATATATATATATATATATATATATATATGTGCTTACAATCCATGAACATTTTTCTTGGTAATTTTCCGAAGATTTGACACGAGTTGGAGAAGCAGCTCTCATTGAGTCAATCCAACCATTAACATTACTACCTTCCAATCTCTTGATAAAATGGTTACTAGAGCAACCCAAAAAACCACCAATCACCGTTATATAACTCTTAGAAATCCATAGATATACAATGAAGTTGAACAAAATAGAAAATTTTGTACCGAAATCGTAGTTGGACGGCGGAGGAGGTTTCGAAGACGGCGAAGACGGTGGCAGTGTGACGGCTGGAGAAACGCCTCCGTCTTCGTGCAGCCGACGACGGATCTACGAGGAGACGGAGGATCTGTGAGGAGACGGCGGAGGGAGGATATTGGAGGAGACGGCGTAGGCGAGACGGGCGGAGACGGGCAGATACGGGCGGAGACGGATGGAGTAGCAGCGAGGGTGTGTAGCACCCCATTTTTTATTAAATGTTATTTAAGTTATTTTTTTTCCGAAATTATCAAATTAAATCTATTTTGAGAAATATATTTATTTGATATCAATTAAAATGTTAATTCGGTTATTTGAAATAAAAATATTCATAATGATAAAATACTATTTTGAGTAATATTATTTTGGTGTGTATTTGGCTTCGTTTGATTTATCGGTATAATTTAGTTTTTATGGAATAAATATTAATTAAATGTAATATGGTTTTAATAGAATTATATGATATAATTTGAATTAAATAGATTGGGCCAATTTAGAATTTTAGAAAGTTAGGGGGAGGAAAGTAAGTAGTAGTAAAATTTGTTTTATAAGATAGAAAGTAGGATAGTTGGTAAGAATAGAAAGAGAAAGAAGAAAGAAAAGAAGAGAGAAAGAGGAGAAGAGAAGAAAGGAAGCTAGGTTTGAAGTTGCAACATCATCATCATCTTGTTTCAAGAAAACCCACACCAAGGTAAGGGTTTGACTTCCACCAATTATTTAGTTGTGATTTTATAGTTTTGATTTTGGAATAAATTAGGGGTTTAGGGTATTAGTTTCACTACTATGTTGTGTAGGAATTAGTTGTGTTGTTGCTAAAAATATTAATGATAGATTTAGTTTTGTTGAGGTTGTTGATGAATTGATGAACAGTGGACGAATTAATAATGTAATAAGTAGTAGAAGAATGGAATAGGTGAGGCTGTAAGGTAAAAAAATGCCGCTCGGCATTGTTCTTGCTATTAAGAAAAACGCAAGATGGTGGGAGGAGGGAGTGTCGTGGGGCCCATCCATAATGTTGTTTCATTTGGCTTTTGGTTCATTTCCTTTTTACTGTGCGTGTCATGTTTTGTTAAGAGAACATCTTGAATGAATACTAGTTGGATAGTTATAATATCCAGTAGCTAGCACATGTAGTATATACTACTTCTTTATTCCACTTTCCTTTGCTTTTCACGTGAAATTCTTAAGGGGTGTGCCTAGTTTGGTTACCTTTGGAAGTAGTAAAAACTTGTTTAGCATATGGAGTAATATAGACAGTAACCAGGCAGTACATTTAAATA